AGGGTCACGTATCGGTTTCCACGACACATCCGTCACCAAAGCGTTCACCGCGCCTGCGCTATATTCGAACGCTGGCGTCAGCGTTGACAATGCCTAAACGACTTTCATCCTAGAATACAATAGGGTCTCCACTGTTAATTACGCCAGTTTCGATACAATGTAATCCACTGCATACCGTTCTGTCGGTGCATCGCTGTCAGGATTTGACCGCGGACTGGACGACAGCTGAGGTTGCCGCACTGTGTCACAATCGATTGATAGGTTGTTAACTCCAATAGTGTGTCATGCCGGTTGGCAGACAGGAACCTATTACGGAGGCGAGAGTTGTGCCGGTCCAGCAGGCTCAAATCAATTGCTTAAAAGTTTAGTTTAGAATATGTTAAGCCTAGGATCAGGCCACTCCCCTCTACCAGGCCTCAGATCAAGCCCCGTTGGGCTCAAATCAAATCCCTACATTTTTACAGTATTCTACTTTTATTGTTCTGTCTCTGTCTTGGTTGTGACCAAACGCTATTGATGGTCATGAAAACAGTAGCACCGTTCTCAACCCTGAACAGCGTGAAGGCGTCCGATGTCTTGACACCGCTGTTGTCGTGTCAATCTTGGCATATTTAACGTTATGGAACACTGGCATTGAGTGATGAAGCAAACCTTCTCGTTGGACCTTTATAACCATCTATATCAGCGAAAAACGAACATTGTGATTTCATCAGGAAACCCTCAGAATCATATCCCACAAAAGGTGCTGTGTTTTGGAAACTTGCAATGTCAAGGAACTAACAAAATTTGGACATAAACTCGTAAAATGGACAACCTACCACCAACATCAACCTTACACCAATGACTGTTTCAAATTATTAATTATAAACCTATTCGAAAACTTTCGATTCACATTCAAGTGAGTAAGTGAGTTGTGAGCTGTTTATCTGAAGGGATGCAGAGTTACCTCCCTTTAGTCATTTATAACGGTCTTTTGTTTTAACGACAGGCAGTTAAGCCTCGTGTGTTATCGCCCTTTGTTCCTCTATGTGGACAAGCACAAAACGCATTCTTATAAAATGTCTAAGAAAATACAGTTATGTAGCACGCACTGTGTTGTAAGTACATTGTATGCTATATTTCTACCTCTTAGAATTCATTATGATGTATATTTGTCAGTGACAAAGTGTCAGTTGGTTATAAAGACTCTGAATTTATGAGTATCTTTAGTATGCATTTCTCATCGGCTTGCCAGAGGCCCTGTTAGGGTTAGACTTATACTTATTGTTGCACTCTCTAATTTTGCTCGGTACTGCTGTATGACTACTCATTTTATAACGTGTATAAACAAATATATACTTCCGAACGTTTTACATGTTTGATTATATGGAGTATATAAGCCCATCATTCTATATCACTCATTCATGGCTATTAGTAAATTGCAGCGCAGTTAGTTGTAATTGCAATATCTTGAGAGAAATAAGTAGTTACACCATTTACTTTGTAATGGCGTACTAGTTCATTGTGTGTAGAACTTGACTGTATCTCACACTACTTTATTTTTCCAGCTTTAACCACATACTGTCTCATCAATAAAACAAGCCTGGCTGGTTGTACTATCTGTTGTGGTTGACCTCTTCTTACAAGCAATCAGGAAACGGAATAAGTTGTGTTTAACGCGGCTTTGAACAGCATTCCAGTTACATCCATCTTCCCGAGGCAAGGGAGTTAACTGACTATAAAGGCCAGTTTCCACCCTTGCCAAACTGGGCTATAATTATGGAGTTACATTTTGGCTGGGCCAACGAGTCTGTGTATAGTCCAATCAAAATCGCGTAACGAACTAGACATCCGGTTCGTTTACAACAGGAATTTCAACGTGCAGATGTCGGTCGACTGCAGGATATGCGAAGGATGTGGAACGCCGACTTGGCGTAGACAGATATTTTGTAAATTCTTTCATGCTTTTAATCAAGGTTAATAGAATCTGATTGGTTAATAGGAGGAACAAAGAAGGGACATAACTCGTAATAGCCACTGGTGGTGCTACGATCGAGCCTGGAAATTCCAGCCTAGTTCGGCAAGGATGGAAACTGGACTCTTATAGTCAGTTAACTCCCTTGCCTCGGGAAGATGAGTTACATCAGACATTAACCACTTTGGTGAAGCCAACTAGCACGGAAATGGTATTGACACACCTGGAGACATGAACGGGGCGAAGCAGGCATCGAACCCGCGATCTTTTATCCTTGGCGTGCATAGAGAATTGCGCCTTAGACGACAGGGCTACCCGTGCCCGTCTTGTGTTGGTGTAGATTTGCTAATGTGTACTTTGAAGAAACCATGAACAGAAGCAATTTAGAAAAAAAATACAATCTGGCAATTGTTTGTGTTTGATGTTGATGTGATTTCGCTACGTTTCCTGCTTGAAAGGTTATAATCTGAAGAACATTATTTTCGTAACATTACCAAGACAAACTACATTTCTAAGACAAAATATGTGATGTCCTGTTGCGAATGAAATGTATAAAGACAGCCATGTATCCTAGCACCCATTGCAATTAGTGGAAGAGTGCAATTACACGTACATCACTCAAAGACGAAGTCATGCTATCTGCTAGCCTTAACCATTGGTTATCTTTAAGGTATATGTTGTCCCATATTTGAAATTAGTTTAACATATGTCGTTTTTATAGAAACGTATACATGTCATTGTATTAGTGAAGAGATTTGAAATTATTCAACAATATATATTATATGGAATTATATTTCATGAAGATATGCCGAAACGGAAAAGAACATTTCTTACTGCACTTCTTACACTTCTTACTGCATGTTCAAAATACATGTACCCAAAATATTCATTGTCAGTAATTTCAAATGAAACTCCTCAGAAAAATATAAAACTGCTCTGTGAGTGAGTGTGTGACTGAGTGAGTGAGTTTGGTTTAACGTCCTCGAACGCTACTTCAGTGACGGCGCGTCAACTTCTTGTATGATGAAAATCTTATCAGACGCTGAACAGTTTAGTGAAACCCACATGTACTGTGCTAATTTTTTATCTTCGAACACTCAACTACCCACAGCTTATTCAGGCGCCTCGGACGACACAGTGGCCCGTGTCTACATAGTAAAGGGGAATGGCGAAAAGCTTATGCTATAATGCAGGGTGACGTAAGAATTTGACTATTAAAAACAACCAATCGTCAACTTAAATGTAAACAAATATATTCCTGCCAGTTTCAGACAGGCTCGTTGTTTTCACAAAGTGGTGAACGTCTTATCCCTGCATCACATTAGCCTTTCCTTCCACGTTTAGCTGACAGGACGTTATATATAGAAAATACTGTAACAGTTCAAATCGGCGGTGTCGAATCTTCCTTTGACAGAGACTTCTTGTGCGTATGAAAAGGTCACTCATGCCACATGTGTATTCATATTATGCCTAGTATTTTTAAAGTGACCAGCCGTAATCAACAGAGCTACCAAGGAATTCAATATCTAATCAGCAACAGTTACAATGTGTATAGTCTCCGGGAGAGTAGTACCTGCCCGATGCGTATATTCATGCGGATATGTGCACGTCATGTCCTTCCGAACAATGTGCGTACATAACAAAAAAATATATGTGTCTCTCCAAGTTCCCGAGATAAATTCAAATGAAGAGAGCTAATCAACTGTTCCACCTGTGATTCGAAATCAATTAAAGTAAAACCAAATGTATGTTACATTAGACCACCGTCATTACTATGCTGGCACTTGAGCCAGTCGAGACATGGGCATTTGAGAAATATCAATTTGGGCGGACATTTTGCGTGAATATTTTATGTCCGTTTCAGTTACTTCGGTCAGCTGCGACTTCACAATCTCACATATGTTAAAAACCAAAACGAAATGACAATGTTGAATGAAAACAAACAGCCTGAAGATTCCTTTATAACATAAACACGGAACATGAACAAACATGAAACCTGCAAATTGTATGGTGACATCAAGTTGCCAAACAGCAGTGGTATTGGAGAACTGCAGCAAGGTCATGAAGCCATAGACACAATAAAGTTAATAAATCCGTAAACTGTCAATTGATTTATTAACACAATATTTGTGCATGACATATAGCAAACATCCTACGGCTTTGTGAACTAGACATACATGTATACTCTCAGACGAAGGTAACACTTTCTGCATGTATATGATTTTATTAATAACTAAAATTAGTAATAATTAAGATCACCTTGACTGACATCCAAGAGAAACTTTACCACAATTATAAATCAGTCAAACAATTAAAATGACAATCATACAGCAACCGATATTCGCATGACAGTTGCCCGAATTGAGGTGGGGTAGCAAAAACAAGCTTTCAACGTAATCGAAAAAGAGCATAAAGTCGCCCAAGTTCACTGACACATCATATTAATAGCGTGTATGACCGGCGCACAGAAAAAGTCAATCGTCTGTCAAATCATAGAGGAGCTCATAGAGGATTTGCAATTTTTGCATATGTTCAACTGTTTCTGTTTAGGAGGTATAAAGACAATTTATGGTAAAAGACAGTGCTTGCTTATCTATTTCTTAATGCACAGAAACGTATTTCTAGGCAAGGAGGAACAGAACCACTTAACTGCTTTGACCAACACATATATTCCCTTTTTACCCAGATCATCCAGCATGTCTAGTGAAGAATGTATAGGGGGTACAATATATTAGCAATTACATTTTTTCCAGCAGGCTTAAAAAACATGTATCACGAAGTACAATATAATCTCGAAAAAATAATCGACAAGGGTTAACTGGTTAAAAAATGTTTTAAGAGCCTCGACCATTTCAATTCGACAATTTCAATTTGATATACTAGCAAAGCGAATCGTACATTAAAGAGTAATTCGATGGAATGGAATCATGTCAAAGATTCAATGTTCAGTGTCTTGGGAGATGTTTGTAATTATAAACAGTACAGCAATACAAATGGGATCGTACATATAAGCAGGGGTACTAAAATACACTCTTGTGTCAAGCAAAGTATTACATCAATTTGTTACAACGCTGCAGATTTAAAACTCAAACAAAAAATGCTAAATGTTGAAGCAATAAAAGGGAGGTAATTCTGCGCCTTCTCGTCAACTGGCTACCGGGCGTAGTAATACACATCCCCGGAAGTGGGTCTTAGGCCAAACGATGCCTCGAGCTTTCCCCAAACATCCGCAAAAGTAGGCCTCCTATCGGGACTCTGCTCCCAACAAGTTTTCATCATGTTGTGATGGCTGCAAGATGAAATACACTGTATCTGCAAATGTAGATTTGCAAAGCTATCCTTTTTAACGAACAATGCATCTAACTTTATAACAAAAGGGGCGTATTCCTCATTAGGTACTGTAATAGAATTAGTCTGGAAACCGTATTATATACATTTCACCATACTACAAATATTACATGAATTAATCCTGTAGGACTCCTGTGCTAAATGGATTCACTTGAAACAGTTAATCCCTAATTCCCCGTCGTTTTTTCAATTAGTTCGAACTGTTATTATCGTTCCAAATGATAATTTTAATCAGCCTCAGTGTCATTACACTATAGTTGGACATTTTGTTGGACTTTCTGCTCAAGTTTGATTTGTTGTGATTATTATGTTCTCGGTACTCAAGAAAGCCATTGGTCCCGTTTTAAAAGGCCACTTTGGCGGCCATCTTGCTTTTTAAAAAGGCCAACTTTCCCCAAATATATTCAATCACTAAACGTCATCAATTCACTTATTTAATTCAAAATAAAAGATGTCTATAAATGAGTTTTTCGGTTATTTGGTCCGTTTCAATTCTTTTACTGATCCAGATCAATGACCAGAATCAGGAGAATATACGAGGAACTCAACAGTCCCTTACCCATTTCAAGTCCAGATCTACACATTTTGAAAAGTTACATGTTTCAAGCGGAATCTTTGCCTCTGTATGATTAAGGACATTATGTTAAGCATTATCAAATTTGGGCATTTATGTAACCAAAGCCGTATTTTAACTTGAAACAAACTTTCTGTAACTGCCAATGGGTCAAAGCCTCTACCTACTGTAACTAGCCACACTAAATATCACTGTACAAGAACGTTGGGTAATGGCAATATTAAACTCCGACTGATACCGGAAGAAAACAACTCACATATCCTCGGCGTATTCCGGTCTCTGGAGCCGGAAACCATTCCTGATTTTGACAGCGAGATCTCTGCTACGGATGTCTGAGTAGGGCGCCTTGCCTGTGCAGTATGTAGATGGGCGTGTCTTAGTCATTCGAGCACAATGCAAAATGTACATAGAGAATATAATATGGTACCCACATACTGATTACTGAGTACATATACATGTACGTCACACAGTATCAGGACCTGGTGATGTATTCGTAATCAGCTTTTGACTGAATACCAAAACCGGGAAATGAAGAACGTTACTGACGTTCGTTCAGTAAACTCAACATGTATATATGTACAAATGCAACAGTTTGTCCATTCCACTGAAATCCTTAAGTCACTTTTCAAAATAGAATATATAGATCCCTAGCAAGAGGCGACATAATGAATTGGGGTCGTTGCTCATAAAATAAATCACTGGCATATAATTTTTTTCAGGCCGCCCTCATACAGCCGAAATATTGCGGTGTCAACAAACAAATCATTACAAGAAACAAAACTTTTGAAAAGACGAGAAGGGCATTTTCAGATTTAGAAACCTACCCATGCTGAAGATCTCCCACATAGTGATGCCAAAGGACCAGATGTCACTCTTCTCGTTGGCTACCTTCAGAGACTGAAGACACTATGGAGCCGTCCACTTCACAGGGATTCGATCCTAAAAATGTTTTAATTTAGACAGTTAAAGTTGTATCCTGTTATAGACGTATGGCATCAATATTTCGCATTCTTATTGAAATACATATGATTGTGACACAACTAGCTTGTTAATCTGTGGAGATTTCAGGCCAGAATAGCAGAGACGAGGATCGGGTGGTCAAGCTCTCTGACTTGGCTGCTTGTATCTAAGCCAGACGGCGAGGGGTGATGTTTTTGCAATCAACCACTGCTTTGTTTGGCCAATATTATTTCAAGGATGTCGTGATAAAGCTCTGTAATATTTCTTTCAGTGTGTAAAAGCAAAAGACCCACCCCCCCCCCCCCCCCCCCCACCCCCCACCCCCACCCCCACCCCGAAAAAAATACAATTAAGATTATATTGTTATACATGAATTGTTTAAATAGCTCAGCAACTCTTAATAAACGACACTCGCCATGATTCGTGATCATGAACATAAAACGGACCCTCTTACGTGGACCCTCACGTGGCAAATATTTTTCATTTTGAGCCGGTCTCCACGCAAACAGGCATTTCAAAAAGTAGAGGTCAACCTGTTGTACTACACGTACACGTATCTTTACATGTATTTATTTAAAACGTTTTACATCCACGTGTTATTCAGTATCGTGAAACAATTGTGACTGTCACTTAAGATGCACACTTTTCTTGCGTTTGTACATATAAATACCTATGATTAAGGTATTCGGCTTGGTTTTCGCAGATTACATTGATCGGTAGGGGTCTTCTTGTAGGTTAAGGGCAGCTGCGAATGGTGAGGAAGGTACGCGCCATCTTATCGTTTCGCTTTCGGGTTGACAATTTATAGTCAGCTACCCTTGTTAACATTGGCCAGACTCAATCATTCGGAGGGTTGATGGCGCTAGGAGAGACCAGACATATCACAATGGGGCTTTAATGCAGATTTCAACACGATTTCAACTTCTCGATTATATCAAGGCTCAGCTTGTGGAAGGGATTCAGGCCTTGGACGTTCAAAATGGAAACCTACGATCATGATACAAATTGCACATTTAGCAAGCTTATTCAGGAGATCAGCACGCGCCGTGACATATCCCTTTAATGGCCAGGTATTCCATTCCTCTGGCAATACCCAATCCAAAGCTCTGAATCCTCTCCAAGGTGTCCACGTTGACATTGTCTCTGTGGTCTCTCAGCCATTTGTCCATTTGTCCGTTCTCGCAGTACTCTAACACCAGCACAGGTCCCACTGGAAGAGAATAAAGCTACAATCTAATTACAATCAAATATTTCACTCCGATACACACTTCTCTGCATTGGTCGCAGAAAGGATGTCACGTCACGTTAACTTTCACGCCAACCAATTTCGACGATTATAAATAAAGGAAGCATGATCAGGCCATCATTTCCAATTTTTCTATCTTGAAAACGAAGTTAATGGGCCTGTTCCGCCCATTTCTTTTTTTGCCATCTACACCCAAAAGTGTACTATCGCCTAGAAACAATCAGGGCGATCAGGTTGTAATATGCTGTTGATCCCTCAGTTGGTTTTACCAGTATATATTCCATGTTACCGTTGGTACTTATGGAGAGGTGTTAGTCGTTTACGTTTTCACTTACGAGCATCGTTGTTGAGAATAGCGCCCCGAAATCCCAGAACGTTGCGATGTTCCCCGACCTGTGTTGCAGCAAAGTTGATTTTGGCCATCATCAGTAAACTGTTTTCTTCATCTGGTGTTTCTGTGATAAAAATGTGTGTCTAATGATTCATCGCTAGGAGCCTGTCACAAGCCTATTTCATGTCTCAAATGGTCCTGCTATGTCGTGGTACGGGTTCTAAGGCTATGGTGATAGTGACCTTCACGACAGCAGCCTCCGACATGCTCACTGGCTGCACAATCGATGTTATCAGTGTAACTTAACGAGGCTTCGTGGGTGTACAATTGTATCTTCTCTTCTGTTTTGTTCCGTGTCCCTTTTCTTACAATCACAAAAAATCGAAAATGAACAGCCCTTGAGCATTGGCGTTGCACTATAGTGATGATCAAAAAGCAAATGATTTACGTTTCGCTCAGGTCTCAAATATCTACAGTTTTGGTGAAAGGCAGGCGAATGGAGTTAAAAAGCAAGAATTAGATTTAGAACAGTTTAGACCCATGGTCAGTGGATCCTGGCACGACTAAAAGGCGAAACTCAAACGCAAACACCCAGGGCTACCGAGATGAAACCTCCAGTTTCTTGTTGTTCACGACGGCCCCATAGAAACCTCTAAAAAACAACAACAAACAAAAGAACAAGAAACAAATAAGAAGAACAACAACAGTCCAACTGCACAACCACCAAAATCCTTTATCTGAACAACCATCCAGACAGTGTTTGCATGTCTCACTTTTCAACACTTTGGCTGCCATCTCGCTCGATGTTTTGCCAGTCTTGTGAGACGCCTTGTAAATCCGTGCAAATCTGCCAGTGTGAATCTCCTCCATCAACGTCAGATTGTCCTTGGGGATATACCAAGGCTGCTCCGCCGTGAACGACATGCTGCCGTACACATAGATGTCGTCGTCAACTTCATATGTTTTGTTCTGAAGAGAAAATAAACATGTAGTCACAAATTGAGTAAGAAACAAATTTCACTTGCCGATGTTAAATAATATCACACATAATAGTAAACATAATAGTACACACAATAAATAGTACACGTAATAGTACACATAATAAATAGCACACTTCCTAAATAGTACACATAATAGTACACATAATAGTACACATAAAGTACACTTCCTAAATAGTAACATAACAGTACACATAATAGTACACATAAATTTAAAGTACACATAATAAATAATACACATGATAGTACACATAAAAATAGTACACATAATAGTACACATAATGAATAGTAAACATAATAGTACACCATATAGTACACATCAATGTTAAAGTACACATAATAAATAGTACACATAACAGTACACATAATAAATAGTACACATAATAGTACACATAATGAATGGAATATAGGTGACATACGTGCAGTTCGTTCCCGTTTTTGTATTCAGCTAGTATATTGCTTATTTGAATGTTACATCTCGCTATCGAGGATCCATGTTTTAAGACCACAGCCTTCTTTTACAAAGCGAGTTTAGCCTTTGTTTGGGTCTGGACCAGACAAACCAGCGATTGACATAATAAACAACGTCCCACGTCGGAGTATAATGATACATTATCTATGATTATGGCTGCCAGACAAACAGCCGCTGTTTGGCTCTTTCATGTCATGGTTTATATACTTGTAAATGTTACAATCACATTCCCTATTAGAATTAACCACATCCTGTCATGAGTCGTTTTACTGCTGGCCATAGGTTCGAATCCCAGATTTGCCTGTCTTTTATTCTAATTTTGTCAGCAGCATGTCCGTGTTTTGGGTAAACGTCTGGGACGTACATCACCTTTTCCAGTATTTAGCAGTCACGTGAGACCGCCTCCGTGGTGGTCTAGTGGTAGAGCGGAAGGTCCGGGGTTCGATCCCGGCCGGCCGCGTCATACCAAAAAACGTTAAAAGATGGTACTTGTTGTTACCCTGTCTGGCGCTCGGCACTAAGGGGCTAAAACAAGGACTGGTCGGCTCGGAGTCAGTATACTGTGTCTGAGTGGGGTATTCATGTTAAACTGCAGCATGGTATCTCAGTGTGCTAGCACTATAAATTGGCATCAGTCCGGACTAGTACAAGCAGCCACACACGTACACACACACACGTGCATGCACGTGCTATATAAGTGCAATAATCTTGGACGTGATATAACGTAAGTACGAGATACTTTCCAAACAGCGTTAAACCTTACAAACTCTCCCTGTGAAACATTCGTTTGTCTAACGTCCATGCCTGTGACTGAAGAAACCTACATGATAGGACACTGTGCCCTTCCGAGGTCTCTGAAGGTTATTGTAGATTTTCTGAGTGTTGGGATTCTGACGTCCTTTGTGTCTGCTCTGACGTCGATTGATCAACGCCACCATCTTGCCCGTCCTCCACATAAACAGGCCAATGACAAGGACAGCTAGGATTAATATCACCAATGGTAAGAAAAGAAAAATGATCAAGGTTCGTACATGTTTGAGGTGTTGATATTTTAAAGCAATAATTACAGTATCCTATTATAGTTTTATAGTGCTATCATAATTGTTTTGTTGAACGCCGAAGTCAGCAATATTCCAATATTCACGGTGCATTCATTGATGCGTCATAGCTGGAAATGTCCTCCACATGTCTACCATACCAACAAGGGAAAGCTTACTAAGGCCTTGGTATTTATTCTGATCCAAAAACATTTCTGCAAGAGTCGTCTGGCTTTCTTTGAAGGAAGGTGTCTTTGGAATTTCAGTAAAAGGGATTTATTTATTCGCCTCTTACAACAGGCTGCAGAGGACCAATTCTAATCCGGGGCGATTGGGTAGCCTAGTGGTTAAAGCGTTCGCTCGTCACGCTGAAGACCTGGGTTTTATTCCCCACAAGAGTACAATGTGTGAAGCCTATATCTTGCTGGAATACTGCTAAAACCGGCGAAAACCATGCTCACTTACTCACTCATCCCATTCTAATCCGGAATCCCCACGTGATTGTGATATTATAGAAATAACATAATACATAGTTATCCCACGATATGCCAAGGAGAGGCACAGGCCACCGAGCCGTGGATGCCTGTGCCTATAATAAAAACAGAAGATGAGATTGGGTTAAATGGTCGAGGGTGCAGGTACCAGTGGGCTACTAAGCTGCTAATTGTGTATACCAAAATGCTACCGTTGCAATGGCCACTAGCGTGGCCAACGGCGATTCGCAGTTAGCGCTGCTGGCCTGAGACTGCTACCGCTGTCCGGCCCCCACGGTAGCATATTCAAACCCTACCATTGCTTGGCAACTCCCACGCTGCCAAAAGCAGCTCCCCACTGCTGGCCTAAGTCAGACTACCGCTGCCCGGCCCCAGGTAGTAGACCAAAGCAGATCCCACTGCCTGGCCCCATTAGCAAAACCATTGTGCGACTACCGCCGCGGACCCAACTGTCATCTAGCGCTTGACAAGACGACTTCCGCCGCCGGGCCCATATACGTGGCAATTGTTTGCCCCAACGTATGTTATTTTACGATTCCCCGGCTGAAATGTCGGGAAAGACAAGGTTCCCACTGAGAAGCAGGTAACCCCGGAAAGGTTCCAGCTGAAAAGCAGGTAGCCTTAAGCACGAGTATTAATTTGGAAGCAAGTTAATTCGTTACTAGCAGTGTAGCCCACAAGAACCCCGCACACCTCGACATAGTTTATTGTTGAGACAGGTATTCGCATATATACATATATACAGCTATTTATAAGTCATGTTTTTTAACATATATCAGAATCGTTTAAAAGGTATGTACATATATACAAGCGCCCTGAAAACCTATTTTACATATGTACAGGTTATTTACATATATACAATCTGCTCTGCTGGTACCTGTAATTGAATAAACGCTGAAGAAAAGAAGTGATTAGCATTCCAGGTGAAGAGGACACATCAGGCTGAAAAGGAAAGAAAAGGAGTGGGAAGCTGCGTGGGTGGGTGGGAAAGCGATTAGATACAGTGAACGCGTGTGTACTTGAAGAAGGACTGTCAGGGAATGATGGACTAACAAAAGGCGGGATGATGCTCGCGCGGGAATATTCCCCTGGCACGGTGCAGAGTGGTGACCGGGGGTGATTGAGTTACGAGGGGTGATTGGGTTACGAGGGGTGATTGGGTTACGGATGTAATTAGCCAATGGTTTGGATACGCGCGATAAAGTCATTTAGTAGTTAGTACTTAATGTAATTATCCCACGATATGCCAAGGAGAGGCACGGGCCACCGAGCCGTGGATGCCCGTGCCTATAATAAAAACAGAAGATGAGATTGGGTTTTAAGGCCGAGGGTGTGCAGGTACTAGTGGGCTACTAAGCTGCTAATTGTGTATACCAAAATGCTACCGTTGCAATGGCCACTAGCGTGGCCAACGGCGATTCCACTGCCTGGCCCCATTAGAAAAACCATTGTGCGACTACCGCCGCGGACCCAACTGTCAGCTAGCGCTTGACAAGACGACTTCCGCCGCCAGGCCCATATACGTGGCAATTGTTTGCCCCAACGTATGTTATTTTACGATTCCCCGGCAGGAAAAGTCGGGGAAGACAAGGTTCCCCCTGAAAAGCAGGTAGCCTTAAGCACGAGTATTAATTTGGAAGCAAGTTAATTCGTCACTAGCAGTGTAGCCCACAAGAACCCCGCCACAAAGCACCAGAGTGCTACCCCACACCCACGGCCACGCGATACGTGGAGATAGCATTTTTGTCCCGCTTGCCTATGTACTGAAAAGAAACACTAACTAACCTGTGGAGATAACATCCTTACTGGCACAAAACAAGCGCCAGGGCATGCAATAAATTGTCCGTAAACACACACAATCCTTTGTCACTGTGGTGCCATGTCTTGTCTGATGCCAGGATCTGGGGATGTGGCACCATTGTACCGCCGAGCTCTTTGTCTCGGTTGGCCAGTCAGCGGTTGATATTCTTCCGCATCCCCTCGATCTTTAGTGGATCCCTGGCATCGTGCCAGTAGCGCCTGGGCAGAATTGAGGATACAATGATCCTGGTGCCAGGAAGCTGGAGTTGTATCCTAAGGATTGATGCCACCATGTCAAGGTAGAGTTGGCTGCCCTTGACCGAGCACAGGTCGTTGGAGCCCCGGTGAATGATTAGGGCTCTAGGGGTGCGCCGTGTCGCCTTGACCTGTGCATCCAGAATGGTGTCCAGCTCCTTCCACATCATCCCCCCTCGTGCCAGCCATAGCATCCTCGGTTGGTTTGGACTGGTGCCCTTCAGGAGCAAGTACTGCCGTGCCCTGGCCATGTAGCTGGATCCCACCATCGAAACTGTAAACAATAAGAAGTGTAGTAAGTACCATGAAAGACTATTTGAATTAATTGTGTAACATTGAATTTGTTGGTAAGCGTATGTGAGCATTGTAGCAATCTGATTTCCACCTGCCGTATTGTTGTATGAGGTGTTCGGGCACCCCGTTCATGGCTGCTGATGTGGCTGCCCCAATGCGGAAGGAGTGCTTGATGGTGACTACCGGACATAGCGGATTACCTGGTATCGATGACATTGTAACTGTTATCCCCATCCTGTACTGATCAGACTTTGAGTGTGGTAAATGGATTGAAAGCTGCTGGGGGTTGCCCAAGAAGCTTAAATTCTGGATGGCGCAACCTGTTTTTGAGGGTCCAGTTTGGACCAGTTCGCTAACCCTAAAGAAGCCGAAGAAGGCTGTGCAGTAGACTGCCTTGAACAGTCTGGCTTCATATGCTGATGAGCATACGTGAGGCAGATTGTTGGTTACTACCTGCAGCAGTTCTGCAGTGATCGGTTTTCTGGTGTCTGGTCGGCCCGCTGATTTGTGTAGGCCTGTTAAAATCTTGCCTGCCAGGAAATGGTTTGTACAGTCGGTGAGCCCGTGGAATTTGTGGTGTGAATGTAAGTCTTGACTGTGTTAGGGGAGTGGTGAGTGACTGACAGATAAGCAATAAAGTTTACGACCTGATCCAGCCGGACTGGCCACACCTCTTGTAGCTGGTGTGTGGACCGGAACTGGTGCAAGGCATTGATGCCTGTTTGGTAAGTGGTCCATGTATTTGTAGACAGAGATTGTTGAAGGAGTCTGCCGGCTTCCTGCCTCAGATCCGCCATATGTTGCACAGGATAGGTGTGGGGTTATGGTCCGCGGCTGGTGCTCCCTCTCGGAAGCATTTGAGCTGAAACCTCGAGAGAGCATCGGCAATAGTGTTAGCAGTGGAACATACATACTTTGCCTTAAACATAATATTATATCGGAGGCACTGCAGGATTAGGCGACGGAGTAGGCTCATCACTCTGGGGGCCTTGGTCGACTGTTTGTTGATTATTGCTAAGACGGCTTGGTTGTCGCAGTAAAAGAGGACCTTTTTGTTTGCGAGTTGCTTGCCCCAAAGTTGGATTGCCAGTGTGATGGGGAACAGCTCCAGGAGCGTCAAGTCCCATGTAGTTCCATCCGTCACCCACTGGGTTGGCCATGCGCCGTTAAACCATTTGCCCTGCATGTAGGCCCCAAAGCTGGCACCACCCGCTGCGTCTGAAAACAGCTGGAGGAAATCGCTGTCTACCCATAGTTGGTCCTGAAACACTGAAATGCCGTTATAACTCGTAAGAAATGTTAACCACATTTGTAGGTCTTCCTTGACCCAGCTGGTAATCCTAATGGTGAAATGGTTGCTTACCTTTGCTAAGCAGATCGATTAGCCTTCGGCTGAATGCCCTTGCCATTGGTATAGCCCTGCACATAAAGTTAAGCTTGCCTATGAGGGACTGAAGGGCCCTTTTTGTGACCTTGATGTTACCTGTTGACAGGATGTCTTGGATTTCCCTTGTCGCCTCCTTGATCTTCGACTCTGGGATTCTGATCTGCATTGCATTGGTGTCGATTTCCAGCCCTAAGAATGTCAGTTTGGTCGTGGGGCCCACCGTCTTGTCGTGCCCAATAGGGACCCCAAGCTGTTCCAGTGTATTCACGCATCCGTTGAGGTTGTCTGAGCAGTAGCTGGTGCCTGCTGTGCCCCCAGTTAGGAAGTCATCCAGGTAATGCATGATCTGACACGTTGGAAGATGTAATTGCATGCACCATTGCAAGAAGGTACTAAACGTTTCAAATATGACGCAAGATATGGAGCAGCCAAATGGTAAGCATTTATCGAAATAGAACTCACCTTCGAATCTGATGCCTAGTAGCTCGAAATCGGATGGGTGGACTGGTATAATTCTAAAGGCCGACTGAATGTCGAATTTTGCTAGTAGTGCTTCCTTTCCCAGTTGTTGAACCATATGCGTAGCTTCATCAAATCTGGCATACACAACGGAGCAGGCCTCTGTGTCTATGAAGTCATTTATAGATTTACCCCTGGGATAGGATAGATGGTGAATTAGACGGAATTCCTCCGCATGCTTACCCAGATGCTGACCATAGCCTGGCTGCTTCTTGGGCACCAGGCCTATTGGGGATACTTGGAGGTTGTCCAGGGGGGTGTCCTTGAAGGGGCCCACCATCCCGCCAAGGTCGACTTCCTTTTGTAGTTTTTGTTTCACGTAGCATGCCGTGTCTTGGTGCGTGGCTGATCGCAAGTTTCGTGCCAGGCGACCCATGCAGCTGCCCTGGAACTCGAGCTTAAAGCCAAAGCTAAAACCTACCCATAAATAATTTGCATCTCTGTAATTGACCCTAGCATATTGGCGTAACCAGGGTGCTATTTCATTGAGATCCACGGGGGAAGGGGCCATTGAAATTACCTGCCTTGACGGCTGGTTTTCTGTTAGGGAAAGGCTGATTGGGCTTGTATGGGGTCGGTTGGACCCCATTCCCATCGAAAGCAGGTCCTAGAGCTGTGGGAATGTTTGCCACACTTACCGCATTTGTGAGTGTACTTGCAGTTGACCCTGCTACAACCAAGTTTATTGAAATCCCAGCATACCTGACTAGCGATGTCCCCCTGTACGCGTGTCATTGCGCCCCGTCCGCCTGATTCTGGTTGTCGTACCGGCTGTGTGACCATGTACTTCAGCCACAACTCCCCGTCAATGTTGTCCCAGCGTCGTGAGGGGTCCCTTGACATTCTGTGTCGGAATTGTTGGTCGTAGATTGACCAGGCTTCCCACCCGAATCGAAGAGCCGCCGTTCTTATGGTTTCCATGTAGGACAGCAACCCCTGGGTTGTGCGGACCTCGGAGTGCCTACTAACATAGATATACATGAAAATGTGGAAAGCTGAAGTCCAGCTTGCCAGGTACAGGCGCTTTGGTTGCTGCTTTATTGGTTTAAAAATTATCTTACCTGAGGAGTCGTACGCCATGGTAATCGTACCGTCCTTGTGACTTCCCTAGGTGTTTGGTAGGATTGTGCCGAGGTCGACAAACTCGCCACGCCAGAATTTTTCCCTCACCTGTTGTTTGACGTGCGCGTCTATTCCATCCGCACGGAAGGATAGGGAATCCCCGTATCCTGCGTTCTGATTGGCTGGCCAAGCCGCGTCACCGTCGGCCTCGTTGTGCGCATCGGGGATTCTCCCTATGTTGGGCGAAATGGCGTGAGAACTAAAACCAAGCCTTACCTGTTGGTTTGCGCTAACCGGGCTGGGCGCTGAATGTTCCAGCAACTGGAGTATTTTTTCCAGTTGCTCGTTTACCTGGGTAGCCGAGTTGGCAGCCTGCGCGGCATTTACAAGCTGCGCCGATTGCACGTTAATTCTGTTGCCACCTTGGATATTTCCGTAATTGGAAGACTCACCATCAGCTGTTGCCTCCTGCATAATGTGTACTCCCGAGGTTTGTCTTCTGGTTGTCCTGGCCTGCTTGGCTCCCCTCACAAGCTTGTGGTTGACGGCTGCTCTTCTCTTGGGAGGCATCACGAAAGGTCGAGGTGGTTAGTTGGTACTCCACAAGTGTAAAAATGTCCCGAGGATGAAGTTCGGGAGTAGAACGGAATAAATGCGATACGGCGAGTGCTGAAATAGGTGGTATTCAAAGCGTAATCGACGAAACGGTCGCGATTGTGTAAATGCGATTTGGCGAGTGTTTGAATAGATGGTATTCAAAGCGTAATCGGCAAAACGGTCGCGACTGGGTACAAAGGAAACGTACAAAGCGAAAGCGATTAGATACAGTGAACGCGTGTGTACTTGAAGAAGGAATGTCCGCGAATGATGGACTAACAAAAGGCGGGATGATGCTCGCGCGGGAATATTCCCCTGGCACGGTGCAGAGTGGTGACCGGGGGTGATTGAGTTACGAGGGGTGATTGTGTTACGGACGTAATTAGCCAATGGTTTTGATACGCGCGATAAAGTCATTTAGTAGTTAGTACTAAATGTAATTTCTTAAAACAACTAACAGGATGCAGGTTAACCTCGTAAACTCGAAATCTTTTGACTCGACATATCATTTAGACTTCTTTTTTTTACTTTATAGTCCTGGCATAATTCTACTCGTCACAATATTAATATCGACAAAACGGATGAACTGATATTCGATATTCCTAGGGACTTAGACTTCTAATGAATGAAAAACATTACACCTACCTACAACCATACCCGCTATGTCTCCAGCACCTAAACCTGAGGTGTCCCCTGAAAAAGCTGTGAAGATAATTAGTAAAGAAGTTATTTGAATAATTAATATGATATCCAAAAGTGTGTAATTTGTAAAGCAATATATAACTTTATGTCAAATATAACTGACATGCACAACATTTGACTTACCCATTGTAAAAGAGGCATTTCTAGGTTTACTCTTGATGTCCCCATAGTCTGCTGTGACCATGACCTTGTACTTTTTGCCAGGTTCAAGGCCCTTGAGGAGTTGGAATGTAGCGTCTTTGAAGAATTCAAAGTCAAGGTCAAAGTTCATTTGTACGAAGGCCAATATATAGTTTGTACATTGCAACATCAATTTACACATGTAAAATTCCTACATGATAAGTCATGTTGATACATGTAGTTTCAAAACTGGCAACGTAATTGTCACCTGCAATTTGCTGCAATACTTCTAAATGCGACTTCAAGCAATATTTACTGACATAGTTACAAGCATAAATTGTCAGAACATAGATGAACCTTTGATCAAATTGCGATTTATTATTGATGACATAATTGGTGGTTCTGAAGAAATCCAATCATATATCATCGCAAGGGGACTTTATAGAAATGCAAGATGAAAGGAGGGGAAGGTAGAATGCGGATATTGTTGGCCCTCATGAATACTTTAAATTGACACATTGATATGACAGTTACAAGACGCGTTCAAATGACTGGCGACTACCTTTCTTTCGTTCTTACGCGTGCAAGTTTTGAACGTCTGACATGGTCAAATATACAAAGATAGACAAAATGAGTGAAAGAGGCGGATTGTTAGAATTTCAAATGATTTTGTGTGAATATATTAAGTCTGTGACCAAAGATATCTTTGCACTGTTTTATGTACGTCTCCTTTGAATATGATCAGCTTTGGTCAAAACACGCTTCATGGAAACCTCTAAAATAAGCTTTCTTCACACATCCCTTCCACAGTTTAGTGAGTGAGTGAGTGAGTAAATTGGGTGTAACGCCGCTTTTAACAGTATTCCAGTTATATCACGGCGTTTCAGCTTAATGTGGGAGGAAAGCCCGAAGTGATGCAGGTCTCCGACGTTTACCACTTCGGTGAAACCCACGAGCACGGGTAGAAAGCTAGAAACATAATTGGGTTGAACCGGGATTCGAACCCACAACCATAGGTTTCTGGCGTGCCCAAGGGACGCAACTCTGCACAGCGAATCGCGGCGGCTTAGACGACTGGGCCACCCGTGACCACCCCCCCCCCCCCCCCCCCCCCCCCTACCACACACACACACACCCCCCACACACCCACACACAGTTTAGTTTTTGATCCGGATCCTCTAGGAGTTCTTACCTTTGTACAGTTTGATCGTCTCTGGCTTGCCTGAATCGAGCTGATATGTGACCGATATAAATGTGCGGTCATGGCAGCTGGGGGCGTGTGTCCACGACACATTGGCCGTCGTGTCAGTCAACTTTTCAACATTCACGTTCACTGGTCCAAAATCTGATAAACAATGAACAAATGTTGAACAAATTGTGTTGTTCTCATGTATACAAAAGCGCAGTTGTTCTGAGTGACACTGCTGGGTTATGTGGCATGGTCTTGCACCAACACGAAGGGAGACGTCATCGCGACTGGTAAAGAATTATGTGAAGTGACTGTAAAATGTTTTTACAAAAGATGAAAGATGGCCAGGTTGTTGAGATAATCGGACGTCAGCTTTCTAAAACAATTCTGCTCAGACTTATTTACCATCTTGAATCGGAATTTCGAGTTTTACAGAAGGAAAACCAACATCAAAACCAAATATTCCTCGCAACTGGGTGGAGGTGACATGGAGCTCAGAAACGACAGGGTTATGGACTATTCATAACGATATACAAGCGCGGCATGAATTATTTACATTTGGACTTGAGCGTTTAAACTTCGGTTTCAAATTACAGAAGTCAGACATGCTTGTTTGCTCAATTGGACCGCGAATTTAGAAACCTAATTGGCTGATCAGAAGATTCATATTCCTGTGGAGGTGTGGTCAGCTTTGCACGCAGAGAGTCATCGTGTCAGAGTAAATGGTCTGACATTACTTAATTAGTAAAAAAACTCGATTTGAAAACATTAGTTAAAAAACTCGATTTGAAAACATTGTAAAATGAAACACCCTAGCTATCAGTCACTGGAACGGTTTCGAGAACTTCATTTTCAACCATTCGTCAAATAAAAAACTCCCTGTGATTTACTAAAATCAAAACCCAACTACATTAATTAACTTACATGCTGATGTCCCATTAATAACCATAAGGTCCTTCACCTATGAACAGAAATATGACTTGAAAGTACCTTTCGTCGCCATGTTCGTGGATACTCCAACACGAGCTGAGAATGCAAACTAAACCAATATGAGCTTGCATTATAAATCATTATATATTTGCAACTAAATGACATAGACAAAAACTAAGGGAATTGATAAAATAATAGTTAATGTGTAATAGCAATCGATAAATTGGGGCCTGTAGATCAATATCTGTTGTGTCCTCAATGTTGGGTGATACATGCACGACACCTTGCTGGCATTCCGTTTAATAACATGCGCATGATTGCCCTTGGTATTGTCCGCCATTCCGACAAAAGAGCTACCCCAAGCTGGGTGGGTGGTGGCGGGTGCTGGGTCCCTGGCGCACACTCTCCGCCCAAGAGTGAGTGAGTGAGTGAGTGAGTGAGTGAGTGAGTGAGTGAGTATGGTTTTACGCCGCTTTAGCAATATTCCAGCAATATCACGGCGGGGGACACCAGAAATGGCCTTCACACATTGTACCCATGTCAGGAATCGAACCCGGGTCTTCGGCGTGACGAGCTAACGCTTTAACCACCAGGCTACCCGACCGCCCCTCTCCGCCCAAGAACTTGTCACACATGCTCTGTTGGGGTCATGTTAAGGGTCGTACCATGCCAGTGCAATGGCCGTATGTTTTCTAGTTGGGATCATCGGTGATGACCTAGGCATTATGTAGTCTGGCATTGCCATCTTGCACTTCAAAATGTCCACCGATAATTCCGACGAAAGGAACAAAGAAAGGACGAAAATTTTTGTCAACATACCGCTGGACTGTCAAATGCCCTTTCACAATAACTGAATAAGTTTGTCTATCATGTGTGATACCACCACACACCATGACACCGCCCCCATAGCGATCATGGTCAAGAATTGTCAACCTTACACACCGCTCGCCGCTACCTACGTCGCCAAAAGGTTTACTGTCATTTATGAATCGGAGGTAAAACCGTGAAACATGGTGAAAGGCCACAAAGCCCGTCCCTGGTGTTGCCTAGTCCACCCAAATCTTTGCCGCGGGTGGTAAACTGTTAGGATCATACCCTTCACGGGACGGCTTGCTTACAGGCTTTTTAACGGTAGATGTTGAAATTCGCCTTCCTGTTATTGTATTTCTCTATTGATACCAGGAGCAGATATGAATATATTGCATAGTGCAATTAATGTTACGAGGCGATCATGTCTAGGTTTCACCCCGAGGTCTCAGTGCAACCCCATCCGTTTGACCCTACTTACCTCATATCGAAAACTGACACTTTTTGTTGATTTGCTAGCATGGGGAATTTATGTCTCGTAAAGCGGCGTAAAACCATACTCCACACTCACTATAGTTTCTGACCGCCTCCGTGGTGGTCTAGTGGTAGAGAGTCCGTCCGGAGAGCGGAAGGTCCGGTTTTTGATACCCGGACGCGTCATACCAAAAGACGTTAAAAGATGGTACTTGTTGTTGCCCTGTCTGGCGCTCGGCATTAAGGGGCTAAAACAAGGACTGGTCGGCACGGAGTCAATAAACTGTGTCTGAGTGGGGTATTCCTGTTAAACTGCAGCATGGTATCTCAGTGGCATAACACTAAAACATCGACTAGTACAAGCAACCACACACACGCGCGCGCTCACACACACACACACGTGCATGGTTGCATCACTTCTGTTTTGGTAGGACACATACCCAATGCTGCACAACTATGACACGAAAAGCCTCCAGCTCCCTTAATAATATTTTTACTTCCGGTTTTAACAACACCACTTCCGGTTTGATAAAACACCTGCTTATGCAAGATATCTTTGAATCAGAAAGTCCCATGTCTCTGGCTACATTGATATTCACTTGACACGCATGGTTCAATCATATTTGCTCTATGCAGTCCCACGTCTCTAGCCACATTAATAAGAAAGTTCCATGCACTTCCCTTTCAAAACCTTCACTTCTGGCAAAGCAATTTTTTCAAGCCACTTATCTTGAGGATGACATATCAATGTGCCAAGATGCCAAGGTATCGCATGGTTTCAAACACGAAACGGTGTATGCCACAAAGTGAAAATTGGTAAACTAAACCTACCTCTGATATAATAGGACTGGCCTACACTTGTCACACATAAGTATGCAAATAATATAAACACTACATGCAATGAACTCGTTTTACTTGGACCCTTGACATGAATGGACAATGCTGTAAAGGTGCTATACATGATATGATATCTCTGAGATGTCAAAGCGCCGCATGATTTAGAAGAGTCGACATTTACATGGAGTTGATTAATTACATCTATCGCTACTCGAAATTTCACATATGCTTTTAACAGTTACTCACCACGTGCACTCTGGGGATGGATGTCTTCAGCCCCGCCCTGTTGACTACGTCCACCTCCAGCTTAACGTGAGCTGACTCAAGATCCTCCTTGGCCACCATCAGCCAGCAGTTGCTGATGTACAGTTTGTACACTCGTTTGTAACACACGTTCAGGGCTTTTGGACAGTAGCAGCTAGATGGTTTGTTTAAACATGCATACATCTGAAACATCAAATTTGTTCATGAATACCACAGAGATTCATTATAAACAGTTGAACAAATCCGGTTCAGTGGAAAAAGAGTGATGATAATATAAGAATAACAGAAGGACAGTTTTACACACTGATATTATCAAGGACGTAAAAGGAGATAATTTAGCCGATTAAGTTTATGTACATTTCCCGCATCACATAACCTAAAGTCTTTACACAAGATGTGTCCATTCTGCAAAATGTACACATGGTTGAGACATGGTTGATTTGCTACTTCCACAAAGATGGTTCGGTACATATACTACTACTGTAACGGGGATTGTAACTAAGCTTGAATCCATAGTCTATCATGTACTGCATGTCTTCATTGATACTAAAGTTCCTATAGTAATGTCTTTACGGTGATTGAGAAAGGTTTCACGACGCTTCCAGCACGACTCAATATCACATACAAAATGGGTTTCAGACATTTCACACATGTTAAGAATAGAACACTTTTACCACCAGGCTACCAAAATGCCAAAAACATCCACTTTAAGATATTGATGCCTACTTTTGCTATGATGTACTATGAAACCGAGTCCGGTCCACATGTACACTATTCCAGACCCCCAACTTCCAGCCGATTAACTTGTTCATTAATCCAGGATATCTTTTCAAATTCTTTTTTCCGATTTTACTAGCAATGGTACAGTCAACGAAATATCACGGAATGTATAAGAACCTGGTCCTGAGTGAACGTTGCCACTTTAAGCAATTAGATGTTTAGCAATATCCAGTGATTATATCACGGCTGTACTGACTGTAGGGTGTATGCATATTTCCAATGTTGATAGAAAATATAAGTACGTACAGAAACTGATGGCAGGGGCAGGGTCAGGGTCCTGTTCGTCATTACGTGACCATCATCCATCTGCGTGACCTTGACCTCGGCGTGTTCAATGCCGCTCTCAAGGTCCTGTACCGTCAATTCTAATCTGAAACATATAATACATAACATAACATAAATCTACCACAATAACTCTCAGAATGACGAAACCGTTTATCTATCGAACAAACGCCACGTTCATTTGCAACAGCACGGACGGTATTAAACCTTTTTTTCCATATGAGTCAAACATTCAACGAATCCGATTTGCACGTAAAACATGAAATATTTTGAAATGCATACCTTTACTCACAAAATTGTAAAAATGTTTGCAAATATGGTCCTTATAAGCATGAATAACTGTTCTAAATATGACAAGTCTAAAATAATAAAAAAATTGCTGCTACTAAATATTTACAAGCATGAATAATTGTTGTAAATATGTCATATTTACAAGCATGAACAATTGTTGTTTATGAAATATTCTCAAGCATGGTGAGGCGGTAGTGTAGCCTGGTAGTTAAAGCTTACGCTTGTCATGCCGAAGGTCCGGTTTCGATTCCCCTCATGGATACAATGTGTGAAGTCCATTCATGGTGTCCTCCGCAATTACATATTGGTGGAATATTGTTAAAAGCGGCGTAAGACCATACTCACTCACTCACTAACAAGTATGGTACAATTATGGCAAGTGTTCCCTTAACAGATACGCATTTGCAGTTAATGGGACATGTTTGGTAGCTGCATTAGTGCAATAAGTCTAAGGGTAAATAAAAAGTGCTTGTAAACATTGTCTCATCATTATGCTTACCCTGAACTGAAGGGGATGTTTGATATCTCGTTTCGAAGGAATGTCATCTTACTGAACTGTGGCTCCGTGAAGTCATAGGTGACACTTGTCGAGTCCACTTTCTTGTTGTCCAGAATGTCCCTGGCTCTCACCCAAATCGTAACAGTGCTCCCGCTGGTAACGTTTTCTGAAACCCAACGATAAAACTTGAGATATTCTTTATACTCATTTAGTTTTGGAGCTTGAATGTTCTGAAGCTGATGGTGTCAGTCGAACATTAACAACGAATATTATACTGTGACAATTCTATTCACTAGTTTTCAGAAAAACCAATTCTTCTCTGAAAACAGTAAGCATATTATTCCTCGAGTAAGTTTTGATGTCTTCGGAGCTATTAAATCGGTATGATTTATTTTATTTTCATAAAGGTTTCTTTTGAATTTACAGGATGCCAAATATGACAATAAATTTAATTTCAAAATATTTGTCAGTAGATTTATGTTAACATGTGGAATTATGTTCTGGCAATGGATCAAGTGATGTCAAGATATTTACTCGATGTTGCGATGCTACATAACATATTTGTTATTATACCACAGAGGCTTGACATTTTACCTTGAGGTAAGTGTAAAGTAGTGTTCAATCCGGATATATCATCCCAGTTGGGAGGCGTCTGTTGTGTTCTACCTCCTGTCTTGTTGACAGCATGGGTCCACTCAAACCTCACGACACCTCTCAAATTGGGGATGGCCGCTGTGGTTCTTCTACCATACTTATCATCATTCCTTTGGATCACTTGCTTGTATATTGGCGGGTCTTTCACGATCTGTTTTTTGAGGGGCAGGATTTTGTTGAGATATTTACCATTTTCGTGAACATAGTTGCGAAAATGGTTTTGCCAGATGATGACAAGTGGCTTGGAGGCATCAGTCATCCACTGGAAGCCCTGGTCTTGTACAGCAGTTGATATGAACACGGCGTACTTTGGGTCAGTAGTAACAGATGACTCTTTGTCACACAGGGCAAACCGTCTCATGTATACAGAGTTATTGGCCTTGTCAACAGCTTCAAGGATGAAGGAATACATCCCTGGTTTTTCTGGAAGAAAGGGCACAGGGAAGGAGATAGGAGAGGTGTGTTTCACTTCTCCATGGTTTACAGGTCCTGTCAGCTCCGACAGCGCTCCTCCAGTACTAGGTTGGAGTTTGAAGACTTCCCATTTGTATTTGTTCATTCCAGAGTTAGCATCAGTCCAGCCTCGCCAACTCAAAGTGATGTCAACCTGTGATAACAAAGAATAACACGTGAGTCGTTTCCATCAGATTCTAGGGGCATTTGCTTCACATGATAGAAGACGATGATCAAGATGATGGATGTTGTAATCTTGTTTTTCCCTTTTCTCGTATGACTCGTATACAACTCAGTCGTGTCAGTAATCGTAATGAAAATATGTTTCAATTGTTTGTTTTAAAGAAGGAAAAATGAAAGCCAAACTTTACGTCCATTCTAATTTAACCTATGATGGAAATTCGAAGTTGTTTTCTTTACTGACATAATATAAGATTCTCGACAGCAGGAAATATGCTAGAAACGACAATCACTAAACAGTTTTTAGTCCACAAAGGAAGATAGTCTAAAACCTGGTAGAACTGTCTTATGTGCCAGCTGGCGTCGTTTGAGCTGTAAATATATAGCATATCATTTCAACGACCAAACAGTTTCACTATGTTGCTTTTGGTACTAATGAGAACAAAGTAGACATTGACATCCAAGAAAACATTCCTTCTGTGTTTCCAAAATGACATAACTAAGTAGTCAGTGTTATTTAGAATTACAGATCAGATATCTACTATTAATTATGTTACCTTTGTAAATTCGGGAGTAATACGAAACGCAGGGTCGGGGTCGTTGTAAATAGGCTCCACCAAGTCAATGTTAAAGGCCACAGAAGTGACTGTCTCTTGCCCTGTGTAATTCTCATGAGCTGTCACGCGTCTACTTCCGGTGTCGTACAATTCCCGGTAGCCACCACTTGACACCCGGAATGTCATCGTCAACCTAGATAGTAACGTTATGTGTTCAGATTGTGCAGTAGGACATGTAGGTGCTGTGGAACTCTAGTAATCAGGGAGGTAGCATTCTGAGTTAAGTTGCCCTGTGAGGGATGTTCATATTTCGTAATTAATTAAACATTTTTACTGACTGCATGTAGACATTTCTAACAGTAATCGCCTGGACAGTTGTGTTTCTGGATTCGTGGGTTTTTACTGTATGAGTGAGTGAGGGTTTGGGGAGATCTGCAATAAGTACGTGATAGAGATTTGAGTAGATAAACCACTGCACTGAAACATCACAAAATCACTCGGTAGAAAGTAAATTTGAAATTTTAAAAATACCATAATTATTACGATATTTTGGAGAAAAACATCTTTGAACACATGTGGGATCCTTCTAACCCTGGTAATGCCTAAACCCAGAATGGTCTAAATCATTGAAAGTTATGTTCTTCTATTGATAACAATAAGATCAAGTCCACAGTTGAGCCATAAAGTGTATATACATGGTTCTCATGATGTGTGAATACAGAACTGTACCAATGTCACTTTGAAAATATCAATTTTCAAAACAGATACCTGACATGCTATATCAGTCGTTTTGGAACACTTTGTTTGGATAATTTTAAAAGTATGTTTATTCAAAATGTATTCATCAAATGATAGTCAAAAACTTTCGACCATATCTGAAAATAATATTCTTTTGATTTGTAATCACACACAATAGCGTGTATAATACAGTACTCAAACAATCAGATGTGTTATCATACTTTAACTTACTTGTCACCATCATTTAAACGTTTGGTGTACTGTGTTTTGACGGAGCATGTAATTATATCTTTAGGGTCCTGGGAACTGACGGTATTATCACACGTGTGGTCGGAGGAGGCAGATGTTACCACGGGTCCACCTAGGTAGGGCAGAACATAAAACAACATCTTAAATTGAGAGTAACACTGTCCATACAACATGCAAACAAAGGAATATTAACACTAACATTTAATTTACTACATATTTTCCTATTACAAACACTTTAGACATTTAACACATTTAGCGTAGTTGAAGATTTGTTCCATTTTTGACGGAGTGGGACATAGAACGCCAACGCAAACTTAAGGAGTTAAATTGTAGTTAAATAATTAATGAAGAGTATTCCTTTTCATCTGATATCATAATTATCCATAGTTTTTCATTCCTACACTTTCAGCGAGTAAGTCTAGTCTTTGGATGGAGTAATTAGGGACACGAGTTTACAACGTTATATCATAGAGACATAGATCTGACAGTCAGCAAAGCTGC